AAAGCTGAACCAGTATGCACAAATGCAAGGTTAAAAGTCATACCAGTTCGTTATGAACCATAATTATACCAGTTCCTCATAGAAAAAAGTAAACTAGTTGGTAGAAATTCTAGTTCGAAAACTGGTATTAAATGGGGAAGTCATACCAGTTCGTCATGGACTACAATTATACCAGTTCCCCGCAGTGAAATGCCTACTAGACAGTATAAATACTATTTCATTAACTAGTATGTGCTAAAGCGACGGCCTACCATTTCGGCGATTTCGAAAAACTTATGCGATCAGCGACATCTGTCTTTAAATAGCCACAACCAAAACCAAAATGTGGTTAATTGCTTCCATTACAAATGTCGGCTGTGGCGTCGAGTGAAGACTACCGATTCTGGATTGAGATCTCAGGTGGAGGTTGTTAAAGTAAAATAAGTAAATTAATTTAAATAATTATTCCAATTTAAATATAAAAAAGATTTTACATACATTTAATTGCATTTGGAAACAACCTAATTGCTCAAATACCATAAAGAAATGAAAATAAATTATTTTTTGTTCTTTTTAAAACAATAATTTTAAAAATTACAACAAGAGACATAAAAAAAAATAAATAAAAATTAAAATTCAAAAAAAATTTGCTCACTGAGATTCGAACTCGGATCTCTTGACTTGGCCTGCGAAAGCTTAACTCTGTCGACCATTGCCACCGTTGCAGCGCCGCGAGCAAAAATCGTTGGACCATGTAGTCTATTTGTGGTAAATTGGAATACTTACAAAAGTGTTCCTCTGTCATGCTGTAGCGGACCAACTCGTGTCTCTGCGCCAGCTTATTGTTTGTTATCCGATCACTGCTCGTGTTTTAACGAAACGTGATTGAAGTTGAGCATTTGAAAGCACATTTGCATGTCTGGCTGTAGCTGAACGTGTAGAGATGCTCGCTGTTAGTTCTTAGCTCCCAGCATGTTCGGGTTCGAATACCGTCAGAGGCAACATGTAATTTTTAATTTTTGTCTTGGTTTTTATTAATTTCGAAAAAGCATTTGAGAAGTGAAGAACAAAAGCGTGTACAAACGAAAAAATATAACAACAATGCCATTGTTAATATGTTGGAGTAGTTTTGTGCTACTCTGATGTAATGCAGGGATGGAGTATATGGTCCTGCCCTAGGACATCGCAATGTTAATTGGACCATATTTTTTATATGAATTGTGGTTAATTTTGGAGTACTCTTTGGTCCTTAGGGAGTACTCTTTACACGCATGCATGGAGTAGGCGCGATTTTTGCAGGGTACTTATGCTTCTCACGGGGGAGATGCTAGTAGTATTTCCACCGGTAGCGTGCTGATGCAGGAGCGGACAATTGACTTCTCCTATGACACCGCCATGTTAAAAATACCAGTCGCTAACATTGAAAAAGGATACAACGTGAACTAGTTCGGCTGAAACGCAAACTGGTAGCATTCTGGTTCACAATTGGTAGCTTTCCCTGCAGGGCTTTTATCCGATACCTACTTATTGTATTTGGTGAAAGTATCGTTGCCAAAAGTACTTGGTCTCAAGATGAAAGTATTGAGTACCTACTTGTATTTACTTGTATCGCAGCATCCCTACTTCACAAGTTTTTTTTAAGACTTACGTACTTATTTTTGCGTATTTGACAACATTTCCTACACATGTACATTTTTGGGAAAGCTTTCCATTCTTTTAATTTTCCTTTAGCATGCAATATCTTATGATCTGCTACCAGCTTGAAAGAGCAATACCAAATGTTGAACACAAATATGTATACATATATTCCAAAACACTTAAACGTATTTTGGCGAGAAACCCTGGGCTTTAATCGTCACATACGATATCGTATCACTTGTCACGTAAGAACACATTTTTCGGATTATATCATACGTAAACGTACTCTTTATCCCATTCAGCTTACACGACTGAGGTATCACATCATTTTCTTTCGTTTGGTTTTCGAGCCGTTACGATTTCGGATGTTACGATTCGAGCCCTGGCTATACCACAATTGCTAATATAAATGGTACATTATTTGCTGGCATGATATTTTATAGAAAAAAGGTTTTTTCTTAACAGGGGTCGTCCCTCGGCAGGCAATGGCAAACCTCCGAGTGTATTTCTGCCTTGAAAAACAGCTTCTCATAAAAATACAATCGCCGTTCGGAGTCGGCGTAAAACTGTAGGTCCCTCCGCTTTGTGTGACAACATCAAGGCGCACGCCACAAATCGGAGGAGAAGCTCGGCCAAATACTAACATATGTGTAAGCGCCAATCTATTATTATTATTATTATTATTATGATATTTTATAATGCAATTCCGAGATTATTGAAAAATATTGAAAAAAATAAATAAAATTTCATTGATTTGGCATATCTAAGAGCGTATTTTGGTAATTTATCGAGCTTTTTATAGCGCTTGTTTTCAGTATTTATACCCGAGCGCACTTGTGCACAAGGGTATTATAACTTTGTTCACATAACGGTTCTTTGTAACAGGCAAAACGAATCGAGATAGATATAGACAAATGTATACGTAAATGATCAGAATGAAAAGAGAAGTCGATTAAGCCATGTCTATCTCTTCGTCTGTCCGTCTTTCCGTCCGTCCGTCCGTATACACGATAACTAGAGAAAAAATTGAGATATCTCAAAGAAATTTGGTATGTTGATTGCCCTTTACCCATGGTAGGTTGGTATTGAAAATGGGCGAAATCGGATCGTAATCACTCCCACTTCCCATATAACGGTAGTTTTCAGAAATACGAAAACTTCGATATTTTTGTAGCTGCTGAAGCTTATTCCCTGAAAGTCGATATTTGCAATGATTTTAAGATGTTAAATAAGAATATTATAAATTTTAGGAAAAATGGGCGTAGCCACGCCCATTTATGATTACATGTATATCTTGGTAACCGCTGAACCAATTTCTCGCACAGTTGTTAGCCTTGGTGCTTGCCACATAAAAGCAAAGCGTTAAAAATAATTGAAATCGGGCAAAAATTACGCCCACTTTTCATATAACGGTAAATTTCAGAAATGCTTCAAAGTTCGATATTTCGAAATTAAAGGACGCTAATTTACTGAAAATTGATACGAACTGCAATCCCTTGAAAAGAAAAAACATTATTATGGAATTTTAAATAATGGGCGCGATACACACTTAACTATATAAGTTGATCTCATTATGTCTTACTGAACGTTCTATCGAAGATGTTTTAAATAGGATTAGAATCACCCTTACCATGTAGCGGTAGTTTTCGGAAAGGTGAAAAAACTATGTATATTTAATACTTGCGCCGGGTATCTAATGTTCGGCTCAGCCCGAACCTAGACTTTTTTACTTGTTTTCTGGTATATTTTTTCCAGCCCTGGTAATAACTCGCAAATTAAGTTTTACACTTTAAATGCAGAGAATATCATGACAATATGGTTTGGCACATTCACTTTTATTAAAATACAAAATTATTCATATACCTTTACGAACATTTCTTTCATCACATCACACACAAAGTGCACCGTAGCAATATGCCCCGAGATGTTGTTCTGGACATCATTCGATTCAGCAGCGTGTTTGGTTCGCGGATTTCCCTTGCAATTCTTTTTGTAATGTGTCTGGCGCAATATTTGCGATGGAGTTATTTCTTTCGATTTGACGTTCTATTTGGGTGGGAGTCACATTTAATTGGTGATTGCGCAAACGGTTGCGATTTTACTCGGCGTCTGTAATACATACTTTATTTGCGCAGGCGATCCCGCTCTGCCTTGCAATTTTTTTATTTTTTTGCTTCCAGAAGGTCTGGCCATAATTCTGAATTTGTCCTCTATTAATCCTCTTTCCAATACATATTTGGTTCTTCAAATCGAATAAAAGATAGTCAAGTTATGTATAGATTGGTGCACTCATTACGAAAATAAAGGTTTTTTAATTCAAATGTAAGGGTCCAGGGGCTGTAAGAAAACTATTTTCTTGTTATATTCGACCCTACCTACAACCTGCACTATACGATTGAGTGCTGCCGGACGGTTGTAATTAAAAAAGCTATGAGCTTAAAAAAGCCGACTCTACTAATACATAAATTTGCAAAATGCAAACTTTTTAAATATTTTTTTATGTTATACTATATTTTACATTGCAAATATCGCTTTGCAAACAATTGAATTGTATTTGTAACACATTGCATTTTCCACATATTTTTTTATAAACACAAATCTCAGAAAAAGTATATCCTCCCCTTCTGCTGTTGACTATACATTTTTTCAACATCACATGAATCTATGCTTTTTAAGAGATCAGCAGGAATTTCAAAATGAGACAATATTTTTCCAATTTTTTCAGAGAGAACCGAATATTTAAAAGTGATTTAAGCAATTTTATTTTTATCCTATTTCTTTGCTTAGTCTTTATAGATTTTCATTGCGCTAAAGTCCGCTCAACCTCAGCGTAATTGCATGGCATATTCCGAACTCTATATCAGAACGGAGCGCTTGGATCGTTTGAATAAACAAGTAAGTAAGTACCTGCTTCACACCAGTGATCGGCAAAGAGTGCCTATTTTGAGGTTCCCCGCTACTCAGCATTTTTTGCATATAAGTACGTCTAAATCAGCGAAACGCCACCACTCTGATATACGCATATGCACAACGACATTGATTTATGTGCACAAGTTGCCCTCCATATGAATACGATGCCCTCATCATACTCATACCATCCCCAACAAGTTTGATCCTCAGCTCAACGGAGTTTGATCCACAATATTCTTTGCTAGAGTGGAATCATGTGAATCATTCCACTCAACCCGAAATTTGTAAATGCCGCTTCCGCCAACTAGTTAGGGAATTGCTATGCAGGTGGTGGTTGTTTTTACCAACGCATGTTAAAATTGCGTTTGCTTATACATGCATGTGTATGTATGTATGTATTTTGGTGATCGTTTATTCATATGTTCATATGTACATAGTTATATAAGTTAAGTTATTTTATTAAATAACGCATTTTTAAAAAAGTGTGGGGACTCGCGTCCCCACGTCTTTATTAATTGAGTCTAAACTTAGAACTGAATACAATTGGTTTCTTAACATTAAATTAAACCTACTATCGGCCATCAGTCACGTTGCACTTGCATATGCACTATTCCGAATATTGCCCAATCGTTGTTGTGCCAATTATTATTGCTGATGGAATAACAAATTGGTTAATGCGGTGTCAGCAATTGTGCGGATGCGCGTGTGGAGTTGCTGACCGTTGGTAGAAGTCAATTCTGCAGAGATTGTTGGAAACTGTTGCGTTAACCCTTCCTCCTTTAAATATGATCGTCCTCGATCATTAGTAGAATGGTGAGTTGTTGAGATTTACGTATGTTGGAATGTGGTTTGTTTCGCTTGACGGATTGACTTCCAGGCTTGTGCTGGGCTTCACTATTTCTTTTCCCACATATTGGATTTTCACGGATCGTTTCCTTAAGAAAAAAAGAAGAAGCACTATGATTATTAAGAATGCTGCCGTAGTTAGACTTCCGACAGAGAAGGTTGCCTTTTTGAGGGAATTTATTCGATGGGTATTGTTGATATGCAGGTCCTTCAAGGCTTCTAGGGAAAGTAGTTCTATGTGGTCATTTTCTAACGGGATTGGCTGTAGTATTGCAGGGATGGTTTCGATTGGCTTTATTTCAATATTGCTGAATGTTTGACTGTTGATTTTAATTGTTGAATTGTAGAATATTATCACGTGCGTTCCGTTTACTTCTTGGGATGTCTCGTCGGCTTCTAGTTTGCCGTTGAACTGGTTTAGCAATATTACTCCTGGTTTTATTTCTTCTAGCGTAGGGACGTGATGGCCGTTGGTTGTCGAACATGTTGAGTTTAAACTATTAATTATCCTAGTTACACATAAATCTTTACTTAAATCTACCAAATGAGTTTCCTTGCAAATGGTTACATCATTATAGCTTTCGCATTTATTTTTTATTCCAAACAGTGTATATTTTCCTTTCAATATTTCATTATACTCAGTTTTTATTACAATATTGTTTATCCTTTTTACAGGTCGTATAATAATTCTTCCAAATGTTTCTTTTAATGTTAGAGGTATTTTTACCATGTATACAATTTTCATATCTTGGCTAAATACATTTACTTTTGACAGTTCTAATGCTTCTTCGGCACTTTTAAATGGTACTTCATCTTCTCTTAATTTACTAATTGACAATTCTACTTCTTCCTTGCTTAACATTACTGAATTTATTATATTATGCTTTGCCCATTGAACGGCATACCTTATATTAATTAGCTCTTCCTTAATTAGCCTGATTCTATTTTGCAAATTTATTAAAATTTCCGTTAGAACATTGTCGTCCTTCCTTATCGTGTTTAACATTTTGTTTACTATATAAGTTATGATATTTATGCGTTTCTCGAATAACTGGTTAATTACTATTTGATTATTGTTGTTCTCATTTAAGCTATTTGAGTTGTTTGTTATTATATTTAAATCTTCATGATCAGGAGATCCGGCTAAGTACTTCCATGCCGTTCCCAATATATCAATTTAGCCTGATAGACCAAGAAAAGCCCTCAAGTCCTTTAGTGTTTTTGGACATGGAAATTCTTGAATTGCTTTTACTTTAGTGGGATTAATTTTTATGCCTGTTTGTTATACAATGAAAGCTGTCTTCTCAATGTCGGATTCCTTCAGAGGAATCTGATGGAAGCCACTATTTAAATCAAAAACAGAAAAATATGTGTTGTTTCCCAGTTGCGAGATCACCTCGTTGATTTCCGGGATTGGGTATTTATCGGCTATTGTTAGGGTGTTTAATTTCCTATAATCCATTACGAGTCTGTATTTTTTTTGTCCAGACGTGTCTAACTTCTTAGGTACAACCCACACGGGCGAGTTGTAGGGTGAACGGGATGGCCTAATAATTCCATCTTTTAATAGATTTTCTATTTCTTGTTTCCCAAAGTCTCTCATTGCTAGGGGGTAAGGATAATATTTGGTGTATACTGGGGTGTCTGAAGAGGTTCTAATTTCCCCTACTACAGTAGTGGTGTAGGTGAGTTTCTCATCTGGTTCGGTAAATAGGTGCGGATATTTGTTTGTGAGGCGGTCAATATGTCGTTTTTGCGTTTCTGTCATGTGGTCGATCCTTACGTAAATTTTGTTAACCGATGGTGAAGGTTGTTGTTTAATTTTTATTTTTATGCCATTGCCAAATGTGAGGGAGTCGTCGTGGATGTTTATGGTGGCACGAAGCTCTTTAAGACTATCGTTTCCAATTATGCCGTCAAAGGATTTTAGGGTGGGGAGCAAAAATAGTTTTAAATTCGTGTCCTTTCTGCCAAATAGATTAATAACTGTGTGGTGGGTAATTTGTATCTGTCCGGCTATGGAATTAGCAAAAAATGGTTGGTCATTGGGAATTCGTTTTGACACGAGGCAGGGTTGGATGTAATTTTTGCTCGAACCGGTATCGATGAGCATTTTCAGAATTTTTCCGTTCTTCGTTCTGCACTCTACATACGGCAACGAAGAACTGTTCATTCTAAAAGATGAATATCGATATGGTCTTGAACGTCTTGTGATGGATTTTGTTCAGCGTATTCCTGAACTGATTGTCCACCTTCTTCTTTGGCAATTTCTGCTTCCTACTCTTCCGCTGTTGGATACCAATCCTGTTGATCTTGCGGATAATATTGGTCTTGTTGGTCCTGTAAATAGTATTGGTCTTCTTGAGTACCTGCCTCAATGTGGAAGTTCCTCTGTTGCTTCAGAGGCACTTGTGGGGAAAAGTTGGATGGTCTTTTCCCGGCCTGGTTATTAAGTGGTGGCCTATTCATGTAGTTGACCGCTTTTGAATCCAAGGAGCAGTCGACATCCATTGGCTCTGGACGTGGAAGTTGCGTCTTAGCGGGGGGTTGAGCCGGAGGCCTATAATTTGGGGAATTACGGTAACTAAGAGTAGGTTGTGGGCGTTGGTGAGCCATAAAATTATGTGGAGGCACGTATGGTCTTGGAATGTACCCCAGTTGTGGGTAGAATTCATTACTTATTTTTCTGGGTGGAAGAGGTGGCCGCAGATCTTGGATTTTCTTAACTTGGCCATTATTATTCAGCGCGTAGTTTGAACGGAAGTTTTAAGCATAAGTGGAGAGCCTGAGGAAGGTCTACCGGTTCTCTCATGCCAAGAAGTCTCGGCAAGTCACAGTTTAGTCCTCGAATAAAGGTGTTGAGGGCTTTGTCCCGGTAGGTCCGTGTAAGCAAATGCATGGATTCTGTACCTACTTCCATACATCCGAGTTTGTTGAGAATAAGTGACAGGTGTGAATACAGCCTTTGGTAAAATTCTTGAATAGTGAGGTTGCCCTGCACTAATGCGGTCATCTGGTACTCTAGAGTTCCCAAATCTCGTTTATCTGCGTACTGGAGGGTAAGGCATCTCGAAATAGCCTTCCAATCCAGCGGTGTATTATAAGATTCGAGGGCAATATCGGCGTTGCCCACGATTTTATTTCGTATAACATTAAGGATGCCATAATATTTTGGAGTTCCTTTTTGTGGCTCGTAGATCTGCAATATTCTATCTACGCCTTTTTTCCAGGAGTTAAACTCTCCCGGATTGCCTGAGAATTCCCGTAGGCATCTCACAACGTCCGGAATTTTGTCTAGTTCCGTTATATTGTTCGCTAGGGTCGAGTCTATGGTCACGTCCGTAATATTTGTAAAATTTGCATTGGGGTTGAGGGCGGCTTGCACTAGGTTTCGTCCTTCTTGTCTTAATATATTAGTCACCACGCCAGTTATTATATTCGTTAGTTGTTCCATATTAATTTCGTTAGGGTTATAGGTAACTGGTTGGGAAGGGGCTGTGGGAGTCGTATTTAGCAATGGGGGTCGGACGAGGTTATTAGGATTTGCCATAACTAATTTTTATTTATTTTATTAATGTGTCCTTATCCTCTGAAGGGTCCCTTTGGTGGTGAATCGCAGAGTTGGACTGTTGTTATGAGCTGGAGGGTCCCCCCGAAGGTGGTGAATCGCAGCTTTAGATTTTTATCAGTTACTAGCCAATGCCCGCTTACTTCGCGGCGCCTAATAAGAGCTTTTCGTTGGCCAATGCAAAAGAGCGTTTAAAAACAAAATTAGTCTGTAAAGTCAAAATTTTTGATTTAAGTTGAAACCACTAAGGTGCAGTATCCTCCTCTCACATAGGCCAATAATAGTAACGCTGTGATACCATATGGAATATCTATCCCTTTTGGTGTCATGAGCTTTACCAATGGTCTTATTTCCACTCGTGAGATCTCTGCCAAGCATGCGTAATCTTTTTGTATGATCTTGCAACTACAACATTGGTGCGATGCGTATGCCAATAAAAGTTCTTATAGAGAAACTCAAGAGCACAGAAGTGAGTTTTCTGTTATAGGAGGGCCTAGAATCCTCGCTGTCATATAGGATGAAAAGTTTTCCGGTACATTGCTAAATGAGTCGTGTGATCTCTTAAGTATCTTTCAAATGGAGCAATTGATATACCTACGGTGATCTTTCCTTGTTAATTCACCACTTTTACAAACTTAACCCCATCCTTCATTTAGACATCTGAAAACTAAATTCGTATAACTTAAACATAGGGCCAAAGTAGACCAACCACGGGGTTTCTATACATTTCGGCTGCAGCGCCATCCATTGGGTTCATTTTCTGTAAAACCATTGCTTACCATAAAATGAATACGTGTTATGAATTTCAACCTTAACTCCTGCGGCACTAATTGGGTAAATTTTTATCAAAAGAATTTTCCATCATACAGGTACATAGCTCACATTTAAAATTTGAACGAAATCGGTTAATAAATACGATTTTTATAAATAACTCTACTCCAGCACCACCTAGCGAGTTTTCTAGTAGCATGTAATATATGTATGTCAGATAACCTCCGACCATCTGACGGAACTCTATTCAGTGGTTTTTGAGTTTATTCCGAACAACGAAAACGGCTATCATTTTATGCAAATAGGTATGTAGATATAGGGCAGTCTATAACGAAACCCGAAAAATCAAAGCTCCATTCTTTGTGCAAAATTTAAAAAAATTCTTCAAAATTTTCACATAAATTTTACCTTTTACTAAAAACTAAAAACAAAGTTACAATATTTCAATGGGATTTAGAAATCTAGGAGAAAATGGTTCCCAATCGAGTGATACTTGTGCGTTTACGTAAATGTATATCGATGCAGTCTTTCCAATAATTACCACTTTTCGCCATAAGTACGGTATTGATAAAAAATGTAGCTGTGTAGAATTTCAGGACGTTAGCGTAAGTAGTTCCAGAGATAAGCTATATGGGAAGTTCAGTTTGTATGGAAGGAAGGAGCCACGCTCCTTTTCCAATGCATTTGCAATATATGCACCAGTGCTAAGTTCAGTTTCCCAGCGTAATTGGTTTTAGAGATATATTGGTTTTTTACGTTTCAGTCTGTATAAGAATTTTAGGAATATCTCGAGCTACATACCGAGTAAATTTTTGGGTCAGAATATTTATTTTCAAGGTGTTGCCAAATATGAACCAAGTCGGTGCAGCCGTTTAGTAGTTTAGTGAAATACATTGTAAAGAGAACTGTATGAAATTGTTAAACGTGACGTCTCAGATTTCTTAATTTTTTGGCAGCAACAACGAAAAGTTTTAATTTTTTTTAGCGAAAAACCTTCCACACAGAAAAAAAAAAGTTTGTGGTTATATCAAGGCGAAATTTTGAGAACGGTCCGTTGCTAACTCTAAATATAAACTACGACACACTGGAAAAAGTTAATACGTTCAAATACCTAGGAATAATGATCGACGATAAACTAAAACAAAAAAAAAATTGATTCTATATTTTCAATTAAAGCTCTAGCAATATGTACATCGGTGAAAACTGCATTTAACTCCATACATTAGCATTTGCGTGATGCGCTTACAAACATACAGACAAACATACCAAAATTTTATATTTGGCTTCTGTTGATCTAATAAACCCTATTAATTTTTCTTTAACATATTCTCAAATACTCTCGTTTGATTCCCATATGGCAACACTTAGTTTATATTATAAATTTAACTGAATTAAAGTTTTCAAACCCGCTTCAAGAATATTTCATTTATTTTACAAATTTTAATGAATACAATTTTTCAGATGGCAAATCCCCTAAAAATATTTTAGCATTAAAATTTCCTAGCCTCTTTAGTTTGATGCCAATATTGCAATATTTAATTTATGCTATCAATTAAATTAAATTAAAGTTTTCAAATAGGTGGCAACCTTCCCCAAAAACATATTCAGCTGTAAGCCTTTGTAAATTTCTTTCTTTTGACAGCCATATTGCAGTATTCACTTTACCGTATCAATTGACCTAAACTGAAATTTTAAACACAGGTGGCAACTCTCTAATTTCTTCTTCTATATTGGAAGCTAAATCTCTAGCGATACAACGGTGAAAACTGCATTCAATTCCATGTTTTCGACTGATGTGCATACAAATATACAGACAGACAGAGATTCAAAAATTCTAAAAATTGTTTATTTGGCTTCTGTAGCTTAAATAAAAACCCACCATATTAATTTTTCTTTAATATCTATAAGGTACAGACATCGACCTGTTACAATTTTATTATATGTATAGATGTAGATATAGATTTCATTTATTTTATCAATTTAATACAATAAAATTTTTCAAACAGGTGGCAGCCATCCCTAAAAATATTTTCGGCAATATAATTTCCTAACCCCTTTCAGTTTTATGCCCATATTGCAATATTCAATTTATCTTATAAATTAAATTAAATGTACATTTTCAAACAGGTGGCAACTCTAAAAAAGTAGTTTTGGCTGTAAGCCTTCTTCAGCCTCTTTCTTTTGACGCCCATATTGCAATATTCATTTTTTCTTATCAATTTACTTAAACTCCAATTTTCAAAAAGGTCGCAGCTATCTAATTTTTTTCTTCCTATATTTTAAGTTAGACCTCTCGCAATACATCGGTGAAAACTGCATTGAAATCCATGCATTCGTTTTCGAGTGATGCGCGAACAAACGTACAGACAGACAGACAGACAAAAATTCTAAAATTGGTTGATTTGGCTTCTGCTGCTCTAATAAAGACCCCA